AAAAAAAAAACAAGAAAGAAATCTCTCTTTTTAGTTCACCTCTTATCAGGTTTGTAACTATCCTGGGATCTGGAATCAGTGTCTTACTAGATTTACAAGGACTCCTTGAACAATCCCCAGAACACACCTGCCTGTTCCTATATCATGGAAAACAGCATTCATCTATATTCTGGCATTAACCTCCTAAGAAGCAGAATTCTTCAGACATTACCTCCAATAGGGTAATAGCGCCAGTGAAATCTCTTTGTGAAAGAAGCTCCTCTAGTTTTGGAATCTTCCTACCTTTCTTCTTCCTTTTGTCAGTGTTTGGGAGGTCCCCGCCTACTGCAGGTTTGGCTCTTGAAAGCATCTGTGAAAAACCAGCAAAGGCCATTTGTAGGATTCAATTCCAGCGGTCAATGTTAAAACAAGAGCGTTAGTTTCAGGATTTACAAGTCAAATCCTTACCCACCAACCCCAGGGAAACGTAGTCAAACTCTTTATTATAGACATTATACCAAAAGGGCTACCCCACCCTCCTGTACTTGAGTTGAGCCAGTTACTCCCAACTTGTTTATCTCCTTCCATTAGAGTGCAGTACGAGATGCTTTCGCGCAGCGGCCGTCATCGCCCCTTCCCCTCGTTCTGCGCCAGTCACACACACGCTGCTCAGATGTGGGGAAATGGAGAAATAAGGGGGGAAAGCACCTACATATCTACAGTTGCATCCCCAACCCCTGTGTGAACACTGTTAACACTCCTAGACTTAACATCAAATGTGCTGGGAACCTCCACTCTCCAGTATCAGCAACCCATGTTCAGAGCCACTAACCATCTTGGCGTCGGTCCAGTGAGCCCCTTCTGCAGACAGACAGCCCAGGCCCGGCCTCAGCCAGTTTCTGCATCTAAACACCTCGATCCGTCTCCACGGCAACCCGGGCGCGGGACCGGTCCGTTTGAGAAAAGCGCTCGCCAAAGAACCTGTGCCCTGAACTTCTTGGTTCCGTTCAGCTTCCACCACTACAAGGAGGGGAAGTTCCTTTTACCAGAGCTGAGCGTTGTTCTCTGCGGATAGAGCGCGGGTTTGATTGTATCTCTACTTAGGAGTTTATCTTATGGAAAACAAAATGCTACGCTTTGTTTTTTAAATGCAAATTTCCAGGGAAAATAATTTTAGGGGACCACTTCCGATTGGACCAGTTGTGCGCCATAGCAACGCCGGGATGTGGAGTCACGTGTTCAGTAGCACGTGATCTTAATGTAGGCGAGTGAGCTAAGCGTGGCGTGAAGACTTCTGGTCAACAGTAAAAAACTGGAGTTGGGGCCCTACCTGGTGGTGCAGCGGGTTAAAGCAC